TCTGTACTGAAGGAAAAAAAAACAACAATGAAATCCATTCTTTGGGACTTTCAGTGTGAGATTTAAAAAGATTAACTCCATCTTAGAGACCATATTAGATTCTGAGCTTGCATTTAGTTAAAAATGAAACCTTTTCTCCATTACAACCTGCAATATCCATAACAATATTGACATTTTTAAATGCTATAATTATAATTAATCATACTTAAACCTCAGTTACTTTCACAACTCTTTTAACCATATCCATAAAAATCTGTCAAGCTGGATATACATGCAAAGATGAGAAAGGCATCTTTGCAATGTAAAACTTCATCTTCTTCAACAGAACCAGTTCAGCTATGGATTCTAGTATTTAGGTTTCTAAGCATAATGCCACTTAAATAATTGCTGAATACACAGCACCTTCACCGATCCTGTTTGGCTGTCTTGTAAGGGCAAAGAGAGAGACAAACTTCTTGTTACAACAGGTTAATCAATATTCTTTGATATATCTTTCATTCCACTATGTGCCTATACTTGTTTCCAATATAGCACACCTTTTTATCTAAAATCACAAGCAAAGAGCATTTATTTATAATATCAAGAACAAATACAGCATCCTTCATGGAGTGCAAGACTTTATATCTGCAGAATTAATATATCTGACCTTATATCCTTTCATTTTCAAGTTGTGCCACTACAATGGTGTTGCACAGTCAATATCTTCTACTTCTAAAACATAGGCAGGTGCCCCAATCATTTGTCTGTGGTGAAAAATGTAAGATTCTAATATGTACAGGTTGTGTAACAAGTTGGTTCGGAAAGAATCACAAGTATTTGGACAATGTAGGAAAAAAAGAAACTTTCCAATGCTGTTGGATCTGTTCTTGTAATCAAACAGCAACGTTCCACACTTTCTCCACACTGCGCTCTATTCTGTATGTGGATAAAAGCCACTTTTACTCTTTTGCAACAGGTATAGAAAAAAGCTAAAATACATTAATAATATTAAACACTAAAAAAGAGATTAATTAGAACACCTTCCTTCTTCCTTTTTAGGAAGGAACAGTTGTAAATAATACTGTATTTCATGTTAAAAAGCACAGCCATTCAAGAGACTTACATTTTCCTATGGAATACCACCCTGCAGTTTCTAGGTTACCAGAGGAAAACTAGTAAATGTGGCTGGTGAGCTAAGTCTGAGTAGAGGTTTATATGCTACAGGTCTTTGCTCAGTTCCTAGAGATCAAATATCTCAAAAATCACTACTCCTCATAGTAATGCCTATTAGACTGGAAAGCTGAACAAGGATGAAGTTCCTTCCATTTCTGATAAATGCAATGCGGATATTTGATCAATGCTCTTTTTTTTTTCTCTTTCCCACGAACAGGTATGAGTCTTCACAGACTGCCTGCACTAAGCAACTCCTAAATAAATGGGTGCCTGAAGGCTGTATGTTGTACTTAAATTATTGCTACAGAGAGCACTTTAAAAGATTTTTGACCTCAGATATTCTATTTCAACCCCTCCTCCAGCAAAGTCTTATTGGCTTAGAACAAGACTTGATTAGAAATGTGTTTGCTGCTTCCCAACAGGATTTCTATTCATGTGTTGTGAAATGAAGTATTTTCCCAAAATGTCACGGTAGACTTTTGTCAAAACAAAGGAGAACAGCTACTCTTGCTGTCTAACAAACTTCGTTGGTTTGTCAATACATTTCCAAGCTTTAATTGCTAACTTTAAGGGAAAAAAAAAAGAAAAAAGAAAAAACCCTAAGAATAGAATTTTAGATGGACTGGATACACATGAGGAGCTGGAATCAAAGTCTACCACAGAAAGTAAAGTCTAAAAACGTACTCAGTAAGACAGCTAACTCTATGTTACAAGATATTCTCCTATCTTTGCCTCTACATAGGGAGGCAAAATTGTTTCAAAGGCGTATACTCACAGTTGATTTAAACTATTAATAATAAAATGTAGCTGTTTAAAAAATGGGGCTACTCAAGTACCTTAGCACCATTCAGTGATTTACTGCCAGTCTTCTTCAATTTCTCTTTTCCTGCACGATGTAACTTCAAAATCATATGTACCAGCATGCAATCAATCTATAATATTCACAGTTAAGATACATCAGTAACTATATTTAGTAATCCAGTGTGTTATTTGTTCATAGGGGTGAATATATTGTTATGAAGGGTCATTTTTAAAAAAATTAAATCATGGTTACAGTTATATATTCATAACGGATCCTCAGAACTAAAAGGAAAGCGATAGCCTTATATTATTTCTTCTATTTTATAGTGTACTAATGCTAAGTTTCATTTGTACCAGTTGCATCTGGTTACCACTGAAGACATTTTGTTGCCCTCCATTTCTTCATAGCTCATTAGCTGAAAATAGAGAGCTCCTCTTGGGTCAGGAGTAGACGTGTTATCTGTGTGCCTTGCACATGAAGAAAGCCGAGACTTGAACAGGGGCCCATGGGGTCCCTGGGCCTATTTAAAGGCCCTTGTAGTCTCTAGGCAGGCAGCTCTACCACGTGTGCCAAAAGAGAGTTTTCCTTCTGGCGGAAGCACTAGGAGCTGTACAAAGTAGTCTCAGTGGGGAATCACTTAGATTATCGACAGGCATATGCCAGGAATTAAAGCAATTCCGTGAAAACAGAATTTTCTGACAAACTCTTGACGCGGTGCCTGCCTGGTTCTCATTGAGCTATACCGAGGAACGTATCTGGAAGCTATGAGTGCTATAGTGATATCATCTGCTGGTTTGGAGTGGCACTAATGACAACATCCATTGGCTGCTGAATACCTTTGTGCTTCAGGTGGCAGTTTTCTTACATTGTGTTACAGGACACTGTGAAGTTGCATACTTATTTTCAACTTCCAGTGTGGTTGTGTTTGCTCTCTACAAGAAATAGATTCCCAGTAAGTCAGGTTTGCTTTTTGCTGGTTACATCCTCCAGTTCTCTCCTGGAGCTTAGTTTTCTGCCTATTGCTACAAGATGGGACTCCACAGATGTTTATAAATGTATGAGCTGAGAGTTGCGTTATGTAATAAAAGCAAAATATTTAGTAAAACTCCTATACATGTCCAATCCCTCCTCCCTCCCCCCTTTTTTGGTGTTTTCTTTGGAAAAGCATCTACATTAAATAGACAATATTCATGCACTGCATAGGAAGACAAAACCACCTGTGACAGACAGCAACTGTTCCCCAGGAGATGGAAAGAGCACACTGTAGAGATCTTATGCTTTTTATCTAAACACAGCTAAAGCACTAGCTTTAGGGTTTAGCTAGGTTCTTAAAGTATATGGGCACTATAAAGCAGTTCTGATACTCTCCTGTTTTGCCTTTTTGCCACTTTTGGAATATGTAGAATATGTAAGTATTAAATGACTAGTATTCAAGTCACAGTGGAAAATAGTTACATGGACATAGCACAGAAATCTGCAAAACGTATTGGAAACATAATCTAAGGAATTTTAAAGAAAATATATAATTTTAGGGCAAGTGAAAGAATCACAGTTGCATAGGAATAAAAATAACTGACCAGTTCCTCAAAAGGCGTATATTTGGCAAAGCTGTATCGAATAACGGAATTACACCAGCAGAGTATCTATCCTTTTGTATCACATTTTGCATGTAACATTTGCAAACTGGAAATTTTCCCAAAGCAAAATGTCAACCAAAATTTTTTCTCAAATGAAAGTGTGAATGAAGCTTCCTTGATGGGTACAGCTCAGAGAGCACCATAGGTACAGCTCCCTGACAGCGTGGGAGAGCTGTTTTTCTTTTTAGCTCATCAAAATACTCTCTGGAGGGAGCCATTCTATTCCTGAGTATGGCAGCACTGTGAGAAGGAAAAGAGGTAGTGAATGAGACAGGGAAAAAGAGGAAAAATAAATAAAGCTGATTGTGGTGGGGTAGATGTGTTTCATCCAAGTGGATCACAAAGCTTTTTTATTCAGCAGCTGTTCACTGAGGTGTAGAAAGCTGTAAATCTGCAAGGTCTCTTAGCCTGGAAAATGGTTGGAGAAAAGCTGGACATACTGTATCAGTAAATGTTCATTCAAAAGCAGAAGTTTCTTCCGTACTTTTTAATACATATATATATATGTGCATATAGAAAACAACCCAACAGCACTTTTTCAGTTAAATTATGGTACATAAAACTGATTGTTTCATTGGAAAAGAGTCTATGCGTGTCCTCCTTGATACGCTTCCTCAACCTGTCCTGAGAAACAACTAGTAAGACGAATCCCTCTGGTAATTATGGCAATCATTTCACACTGGGAACAGAACACAAGGCTGCTCAGATCATAACAAGAGGGCAGATTTTTCTCCCCAACAACTTCTAACATTTCAGGGCATCGCGAGGAGTACATAAATATTCAATACCACTTACAAAAATCTAAATGTTCAGGATAGATAAAACGTTCCCCACCTACAGGTATGCCTTCCAGCTTATTCCCTCATTACTGATTACAAACACACTTGCTACAGTTCATTTTTTAAAGACGTCTTCCAAAGACAGAAAATTTCCATTGAGAGGCACTCATCCTCCTTTTCAAAGTAAACCAATGCCTGACACATGATCATACAAGATACAATGTGCATCTAAAATGGAAATCTGAGAAGGAAACAGAGAAAATCAAAGTAACGGTGACCCAAAAGACAAGACCAGAGCTCAGCACTACTGTATCTGGCCCAGCTGTGGCACAGGCGGTCACCAGCTGGGGACAGAGCCCATTTTCATTTGTCTGATGAACAGTTTTCCCGCTTTTTAAAGTTAGGCTTGCAGGCATGGTTACCTAAATAATTTACAAATAAGAAGACTTCACAGCAGTTCTGAGGACGAGACTGTGCTGCTGATACGGATGCTCACAGCTCTCAGGGGCATCGTGAGAATTACACGTGTATTAGTAAGGGATGAATTTGTGCCCCGGGAATTTAAGATTAGAGCCGTACCAGGCAATAATCTTACCTTAACGCATCAAACTCTATTCCCAACAAACCGTATTAGCCTGCTACTCGAGTATCTGTTGGCGTCTGGCTCAAAAAACACCGGACCACCCTCCAGGATAATGAACGAACTTGCTTGGATCTGAAGGTGACCCCCCGCAAAGTGCTGTCGCTGCGTCTTGAGTTGGCAGCATTCCGGCGACTCCAGCGGGAATCGGTGGACCTAAAAACGTTAACGGGTGAAGACAGGCCGGCCCTGCTGGTGGAGGTGGGTAGGAAGGCCCCAACGTCAAATGCGCCGTTGAGATGGAGCCCCAGAACAGGCCTTCTCCGGTCATGAAGAAACCTTCACACCAACACAGTTTCGTTTGTTTCCACCACTTTCTCACAACACATCCCCTTTTTCCCCCCCTTCCCCCCCTCCCCCT